TACTTAGTTGAATGAAAAACGATAGTTCAAGTTAAGCGTGCCTAACCCAGTTGTGAACTCAGACACAGCGCTAAAGTCTGATTTAAACTTTTTTTTTTTTCTAAAGGAAAGAGATGGTCCGGGGTGGCGGTCATAAATAGGATTAATAGTGGTAAAACTATTTTACTAAAAACTAACGTTTTGACCCGACTTTGCAGATACAGCAAGATAGAGAATTGTTGAAATTGCATAATATTTAGACAAAAAATTATAAACAATGTGAATTAGTTTATTAAAATTATAAACTGTAACTATATTAAAATATGAACAGAGTAAGCTAAGTAACAAGATCCTAAACTGAAGTAAATAGATGCTAACAATTGTTGTAGTGTAATATATAACAAATACAAATGTGAATATACTTCTACAGATCTACAGGAGAGATTGAAATAAAAGGAAAAAGGATATAATATTAAATAATAGACATAAAGGAATATGGAGAAACAAAAGAAAAAAGAAAAACCAAAAATTAAATTATGTTATGTTTTCTTTTCTCTCTCCACATTCCTTTATGTCTATTATTTAATATTATATCCTTTTTCCTTTTCTTTCAATCTCTCCTGTAGATCTGTAGAAGTATATTCACATTTGCATTTGTTATATATTACACTACAACAATTGTTAGCATCTATTTACTTCAAAAAGGATCTTGCTACTTAGCTTACTCTGGTCATATTTTAATGTACTTACTATTTATAATTTTAATAAGCTTATTCACATTGTTTATAATTTTTTTGTCTAAATATTATGTATTTTCCACAATTCTCTATCTTTTTGTATCTTGTCCGTTCTAGCTCTGAAGAAGACCTGCAAAGTCGGGTCGAAACGTTGGCTTTTAATAAAATAGTTTTACCACTATTTAGCCTATTTATGACCGCCACCCCGGACCATCTCCTTCCTTTATAACGCAACGGTCAACTATTAAATATTCAATACAATTTTTTTTTTCTGTTACTATATGGCTTTAATAGCAATACGTCTAATGCTAAATTAATGAATATCAATTTTGATACGAAATAACAGAAAAAAACGTTTACTACAACCTATCTGTCTAGATACGTTCCGTGGGTCTTCATTGTGAAGAATATCAACTTCCAAGCCGGATTATAGAAGAAATAAAATGACGAAGGCATTATTCAGCGATAAACTGGCGGCCGACTAATGATTGAAATAAAAAAGCAGGGGCTGAGCAAAAAGCCTTGTGAGACCCCCGCGCCTCATAGCCGAGGAATACACTTTACGGCACTAAACTCAGATGACACGGACAATAAACTCTTTTTTTCCTCTCTCCGAGGGCATTTTCTTCACCAAGAGCTTTTCTTTTTTTTCTTTTTAGTTTTTCTGAAGGAATAATTATTTGAGTCTCCTCGGCTAGACGAAGCATTAGTTTACTTTGGAGGATTATTGTTGATAGTTGAAAATAAAACATTTACTTATTTTCTGGTTGTAGGGATACTCTGTAGTGAAGGGAAATATTTGAGAAGGTAGAAGAGAAATCATTATAGTTGCTGTTATTAGATTTTTACTTTCAGTTACCTATGTATGTAATATATAGTAAGAGAAAGTATAGTGTATATAGTATAAGTATATCGTTGACCCTGAGTTGAAATAACCAAGTCCCTCAAAATGGTCTATTTGTGTGTTTGTTATCAGTCCAGCTCAAAAACGAAAAGTCTTAAGAAACTGAAAATACATATTTATGTCAGGTATATACCTGGGACTTTGAAGATTGGAAGCTCAGTGCCCTAGCCGCCAAGCTACTGCACTAAAAACAATTAATAATAAATAAAAAAATATATGTTTCCCACTTTCACATTCCTTCCTATCCTAGCCGCAATACATCGTAACTACACTAATTCTTATCGTAGTAAGAACTTTGTCAGCAAGAGGGAACTGTCCTGTTAGGAAATGCTATTGAAGGGTGTTGGTACCTGCGGCTGGAATGGCTCAACGAAGCACACTCCACAAGCCGCAGATGATCTTGTCAGATGATCTAGGCAATAGATCTTCCGAATTTATTGTCTTAGAGCACGGATGCAATTTAAAAATCCTTTCCTATATAAATGGTGTTGCCTTCCCCTGCCCTCAACGGTAAGCCTGATGTCATCATTAGCTGTAACGATGGTTTGGCATGTCCCTGGTGTCGCACGCCCACTCTAATCGTTCCCTTTTATTTCCTCCATTTCCTTTTTGTTCTATTTTTCGGGCCCCCACAATCTCTCTGGCATTCAATACATTTAGAAAGCAAGTTACAATTACGGGATATTCGATGAAACACCTTATTCTCCGTAATAGAATGGGTCCGGTCCAAATAAGTTTATGAAGCTAACAGATTCGCCAATTTGTTTATCCGCCTATGAAATAAATTCCCACCTTCTGCTGTTAAAAATGAAAATTGAAAAAAAAAATAAATAAATAAAAATAAAAACCTTCACGTTTCTAAAATCAATACAGACATCTCACATTTGGTGCTTTATATGGTTTTGAATCAGCATCGAAAACAAGCTAATATATAAAGATAAATTTTCATAATTTTATTTTAAGTAAAAACTTCATTAGGAGCGATTTTCACTTGCACGATTAATTATAAATCGGACCTGCATATTGTAAGCGGATAAATGTTCATCATTTCATCCTCTTTGTAATGAGCTATCATTCAAAATTTTATCTTAACTAGACGCCATATTTGAGGTAAAGGGGAAAAATACTGCCGAAAACCAAATGGTAACGAGTTTTATTGAAGATATGAATAAAAATGTCTCAAAAACTAAAAATTAGAGCTTCATACTGTAAGAAAGGGAATAGTTTAGAATTTCATCCTCCCTTTAAGAGACCATTATTTTTCTGTTCTTCCCTACCTCTCCTTTTAGGCTATACGGGATTTTCCCGGGCCGGGGGATGTTGGCGGGGAATTTAAAAACCCCTCCGGCACCGGGACGCGAACTCGTACTTTTTAAATCATCTCAAATCTTTGTTATCCGGTTGCCAGGCAACTAGCGGTGCTGTACACACGCTTTAACCCATTCGGCCACCCCGCCCCAATGCGACGCCGTGTTAGAGAGTCGTAAAAGGAAAAAGTAGTGTCAAAAATCAGATGATAACTAGTTTCATGGAACATAACGAAATTCCTGATGATCCTTAACACTCATACGGACCTTATTTGTTGAGAAAAAATTCGCACTAATTGTAAGCTAAATAAAAAAATTAAGACCCTAATTGATTATTTCGGCTCTATATGATTTAAATAAGAGATTTAACTTTTCTTTCATGTCATTTTATGATTGTAAGGAGAAAAAAAACACTACTTTTTGTTTAATAACCGTTAGATGAAGTTTTAATGTTCCAAAAAAATAAAGATAAACAAATAAGCAGAATAATACAGTGATATAATATATTTTAAAAAGTGAAATAGTTTCAGTGATTTTATAAGCCTAATTATACTAAAATAACACGAAATAATTTTTATTGACAGTGAACATAATTATCCTTTATCCATACATTCCTTTGACAATATTTTAAATACGGAAAATATGATCTGTGTCCTCCTTCTGAGTATCAGAGTGCTGAACCGTTAATAGAAGGACCAAGTAAAGTGGAAGTTTGAAGTAAGCTATCGGAAAATTAAAATCTTATAAATCAGCGGGAACCGATAAATTCCTACAGACTAATTAAGGCATGCGGGGAAGCTGAGTCTCTAAAATACACGGTGGTTAAAAAGATCTAGGTGAACGAGAAATTAACCTGGAAGAATGGAAAGAATCTATTCTTATTTCCCGATTCACAAAAAGGGCCGAGGACGGATTGGTAATAACTATCGAGGAGATTTCCACTCCCCTTCCGGTATGTTATAGAAATATTCACTTTAATCTTACCAGTCGAATCACGGAATACGCCGAGGAAGATTATCGGAGACTACTAATGCGGATTTAGACGGAATCGTTCGACTATTGATCAAATATTTTCTTTACGGCAAAATATTAGAGAGAAAAATTGAGTATAACGGTATGTTCACCAAGCTATAATAGATTTTAAAAAGCTTACAATTCTATTGACCGCTAGAAACTGTATAACATCTAAGTCGAGCAGATGATTCCAAAAAACTAGTAAAAATCCTAGTCAGATTGCTTGACGGAGGCTCTCAATAAAGTTAGAATCTAATAAATCTCAAAAATCTTAACAAATCAAAGTTCTACGGAAAACTAGAAAAAACGAAATTGTAGAAGAGAATAAGTTAGACTGATAGGTCGGGAAATGCTGTTATTTTCTGTACAAAACTACTTAGTGTTCGCGCCTCTTGTCCCGGAACTTAAAAATTAGAATCTATAACACAAATAATCTTGCCTACATTCTTTTATGATACGAAACTTGCCGCTTACATTAAGGGATGAGCAACGTCCTGTAAGTTTTAGAAAATAAAGTAATTGCGTCGAAACATGTCGGATCCGAAGAAGGACTGAGTTAACCGGGGAGAGTTCATACGGTTTACACAACGCCAAATTGCGTGAACTGTATCCGGGTAATATAAATTGAGGTAATTTCATCGCGCGAATCAAATGGGCTTTGTAAAGTTGTTGTGCTTGAGATAACGGAGAGAATTCCTAAAAGGTTTAATATTAGCTGTGCCGAATGGTAAACGTCCCCGAGGTTAGACCGAAGCGAAGGGGGAAGATTGCATTAAAGACGATCTGAAGCGACGTGGGTTTGACGGCGAACGGTGGTGGAGGTGTGTAATAGAGCGATTGGTGGTGTCGGCAATCGAACCTTCGGGTTCGCTAAGCCTTTTATTATTATTATTTATCCATACATTACATGTTGTTTTTATAATGAGTAAATTACATATTATTTATTACTATGTAATAATATAAAGTATTCCCCGTTGAATTAAATAGAATTTTAGATTAATCGTTTTTTTCTCGATTACAAATAAATTTTTTTTTTAATATATTAAAACTTTTTTCCAGGTTTACCTCACACAACATCTCGACCAAAACATAAAGGTATGTTTATTTATTAATACTCAATTAATTGTTTATAATTTAATTTATTATTAACAGTACTCCCATTAAATATTAGTAGGGAAAATCGGGTGTATGACGGGAAAGAACTGGGGAAAAAAAGTTTCACCAAGCTAATTATCAAATTCTTTAATACCTTATATTGAATCGTCTTTAACAACAGTTACAATGAGAGGCATTTTGAAAATGGGACCGTGTTAGACTACATGTATAAGGAACCTAGCTGTTTTTAAAAAAACATTTAATTGTGTATTGACATAACGAGTTTAATAGCAGATTGATAGATCTAATCAACAGAGACGCAATAGAACTGCATGCAAATAACAGGAAAGAAGTAGCCCAAGAAAAGATTGTAGATCTGTCTGTAATGCCAACAAAAAAATAAATAATGTACCGAGAAATAAGGAGTAAAATCATTAAGAAGGTAAGCAGGTTTTTTTGTTGGGCAAAAAATAAGACATGGTTAGTGACTTTTTACAATAAATCGACGCGTCGCGACATAGCGATCGAACATTTATTTAAATAATGTTATTCTTATCAATAACTGTTGTCTTGCTGATTGGGGACAAACATGAACATAATTTTTGACGATATTGGCACCGGGAAAGGGCTAACAAGATGTCCTCCCCTCCTCCCTCATGGGGTCTTTACCTTCGGAAATGTTTACATGGCACCTGATTTCTGTTTACCATCTCTGGATCCTCCAATCGCTACATTTACATAACCTGGAGGAAATATCCTAAATGGTACATTCGATAATGATATCAGGGCTGTTGGAAGGTATAGGGTACAATAATAATCACCTTCAAGAAATATAAAAAATTTATTATTTTGTCTTTTAGTAAATTTTATAATAAAAAAAAATATCGAAATTGCTAAATCTGAATTGCTTGATTAACACAAAAGCTGTTATAAAACTCAGTATTTTAGCTTCAAACTCCGCTTGAAACTTACGAGTCTTTTGTATTCTGTTAGTTCAAAGATAAAGAGTAAAAAAAAATATATTAACTATTAAACAATTAATAAAATATTCAATAACAATAAATATATTGAGTAATATAGCATTATGCCACAATAAGTACCTTGCTCGCAGTGAGAAAAAAGTTCATTCACATCATACTTACAAATAATACATAAGATAAAATTAAAATTAAATAACAATATTGAAAAATAAAATAAATAAATATTATATACAATAAATAAATGTCCTAAAAGATAAATGAGGTAAATAAAACCTAAAACACAGACATAGGTTTTTTTTTCCTCCTCCTCCTTTTTCTGCTGTACCGGGTTTTTTCCCGGGCCAGAGGAGAGGTCAGAGGATTAATACCAGAGTTAAATCCTCCCGACACCGGGCTTCGAATCATTATATTTGTTTTTTTAGGTTGCCAGGCTATATATGTATAGCAAACGCGTTAGCCCACTTGGGTACCCTGCTCTCAAAAACAGAAATAGGTATATACACTATTTGCAATCAGCCAGTGGAGCTCAAAACCAGGCTGGACCAATCTGTTGAGGGAAAATTCCAGGAGATCCCTGCACAATTCTCTCAACCACCTCATTGGAGAGTCATCTTATTATACCTCAAGCTTAAACAGATTATCTCTAAGACCGGATATATCAGTAATATTAAATAATAAGAAATCAAACACATGGCAGAAAATTTATTTATCTGTTTCATTAGCCGTTGGGCGACCCTGGGTCGGTAGACCCTCCTGGGACACACCCAGCCTCTATAAAGTGAGTATCCTTAATTAAATAATTAATTAAGGGGGGAAACCTGGCGATAGAGCGTGATCTCGGTCAAATCACCTCCTTGCACAACCGTTGACCTAGAAACAGTGCTTTCTCTAAATACTACTCAATCCAAGACCCTTCATGGGTTGTAGTGGTACAGGTAATGTAATTAAACATAAAAACCGTTTAAAAATCATTTAAAAAATTCTTAAAATCCATAGGCTATTAAATAAAGTATAGAAATAAATATAATTTTTATTTTATTATATTTTTTATATATTTTAAATATTTTTTTATTAATTATTAGGTTTTATTATCAATTATTTTTTTTCTCCTCTAAAAAGTTTGTGAACTCAACAGACGAAAAAATAACTGACTCCCAGGCTTTGATGACCATAGGGTTTTACACCTTAAATCTCAAACAACAAACAAACTGGTGGGTCATTTGAAAAAACTTTTCAAAAGGTCAATAATTTTTATTTTTAATTTATTGAACTTAGTAGTTTTGGAACATAGCCCGTCATTTGTCGATTTATTTAATTTTTTTCAACAAAATTACGGTCTCAGAAAACCATATTGTAAATCGCTTGCCCTTACTCCCTCTTCTGGAATGGGTTGACCCTTTTTGACGTAATCATTACCCCATCGAAACTACACGTAGACGTAGAAGCCGAACCGAAAACCCCTCAAACGACCTGAGGCCGTATATCGCACCAGATCACCTGGCGATCCTAACATGGACTTAATATTTTATCCCCCTTCGTCCTCCTCCCCCCAAGCTTGGAATATTCTTCACATAACCAGCCAGGCTGATGGTCCCTCTACCGTTGTCAATACTGCCCAATATTCAACATTCCGCATCCAATATGCTGAAAGGCTTTAGAGGATAATCGCAAATTCTGCTAGGGTCACGTTTCGAACATCGAAAAAATCTCTTTAAGTTACCCCTTAATACAGGTAAAAGAAAAATGTAAAAATCGTCTAATGTAATACAAAATAATTTGTTTTCTTAAGAATTATAAATAAAAAATGATAATTGGCGATTTAATCACGAAGTGACCGTACTTAAAGTCTCCTGATATAGAATGTTTTTTTTTGACAAGTGAGTCATTTTTTCTTAAGTGAACTCTAATTAATCATCATAAGTATGAATGTATTTTTTTTATTTATTTATTTAATGTTGTCTCATGATTTTCTTTTCTTTTCTTTTATTGTATATATGGTGTTAGTGTTTCATACATCCTAAATACTCAATGCCCTTAATTGAGGCAAAATGTATTTTTTTTTCTCATTAAAATATTATTATAAGAATTTCAGAAAACTCAAAAAATTATATTTTATATTCAGAATTCTACTATCAAAACTAATATTTAAAAATAAAATTAAAGTAAATATTTTCTATTTGTTTTACTTCGGAAAATTATTGACTATTTTAATAGTTATTAAAAAGTATTGAAACATGAGTAGGTTTGGTATGAGTTGAACGTCAAGACCCTTTCTGGATTAAAAAAAAAGGTTGATTGGGATTTTGAGAGAAAAAGTTGAGTTATGATTGATAGGGATTTTGAGAGAAAAAGTTGAGTTCAATTCAAATTTAACTTTTTATTTATAATAATAAGTTGAGTAATAAAAGTAAATATAATAAATATAAGTATAATAAATAAGTATTATAATAAATAAGTATAATAAATATAAATATATAATAAAAAGTTGAGTTATGATTGATTGGGATTTTGAGAGAAAAAGTTGAGTTATGATGATTGAATTATGATTCGAAAAAAGATATTCAAATTTAACTTCTATTTTCCTCTCCTTTGGAAACTCTCCACAATCAAAATGATTGCCAAACCTTCAAAACCTACCACTTCTCCTTCATCCTATCGTCCTATAGCACTTCTTCCAATAATGGGCAAACTATTTGAAAAACTATTACTAAACCGACTAAAGCCTATTCTAGAATATAGTGAAGTGATACCAAATCACCAGTTTGGCTTTCGCTGTTATCATTCTACTGTGCAACAGTGCCATCGGATAGTAGATGCTATCTCTGTGACTTTTGAAAAAAAGGAATATTGCTCTGCCGTCTTTCTCGACATAGAGAAAGCATTTGATAGTGTCTGGCACAAGGGCCTATTATGGAAACTAAAACCGCACTTACCTTCCACTTATTTTTTAATTCTTCAATCCTACTTTCTTAATAGATTTTTCTGTACTTCCGTAGACTCTTCTGTATCTTCCTTCTTTCCCCAACACAAAGGCGTACCACAAGGTAGCGTCTTGAGCCCAATCCTCTATTCTATATACACTTCTGATATCCCTGAGCACCCTAATACCACCATTTATTGCTTCGCTGACGACACTGCTATTCTATCTTCACACAAAAATCCTACTATCGCATCAATTGCCCTACAAAACCATCTTCATGATCTTGAAAAGTGGTTTGAAAACTGGAGAATCAAAATTAATAGTACAAAATCCACCCACATTAGTTTCTCTCTTAGGAAAGCCTCATGTCCACCCATAACGATTGCCAATAATCCAGTGCCTTCAAAGAACTATGTACGGTACCTTGGACTCTACTTAGACAAAAGACTTACTTGGAACATACATACGAAATTAAAAAGACAAGAACTTACTAGACGATATAGCCAACTTTCACATCTTCTGGACTACAGATCTTCACTTAACTTACGAAACAAGCGACTTATCTACAACACCTTACTGAGACCAATATGGACATATGGAGCAGAACTTTGGGGTTCAGCAAAACAAACACACATAAACAAAATACAAACAGCACAATCAAAAATTTTACGAAAAATTGTTAACGCACCTTGGTACATTTCAAACACTACTATACATAACGACTTAAACACCCCAACAGTAAAATCCTACATCCACGACAAATACACTACATTTCATTCTTCAACCCAAAATCACTCCAATCCTCTGGTTCTTTCTATCTCCTGCTCCCTGTTACCTGAGCAACGAAGATTAAGAAGAAAATGGCCAAGAGACCTACTACATCAATAAAAAAAAAAAATCAAGCAATTACACCAAGACAATAAAAATACAACAAATTTGCTAGATGCGCAGCTGCGCAGGTGCAAATTGCATTAAAGTTGAGTTATGGTTGATTGGGATTTTGAGAGAAAATGTTGAGTTATGATGATTGAATTATGATTCGAAAAAAGTTATTCAAATTTAACTTTTTATTTATAATAATCGTAGAATACAATCAATTTATTTTTAATTTTTAATCAAATAAAATGGTCAAAAAACTTTTGAATTTTTTTTTAAACTTGAGAAATACGAGTATCATAAAACATTCCTTGCAAAAGAAATACCTTCTTCGCATAAAAAAAATAATATTCAGACTTATTTTGTTCCTGTTTTTTTCTACGTTTGCTATCAGTTCTTGATCAGTCACTGGGTCAAGATATTTTTCTGTTATTCTGTAATTTTTTTATTTACTAATTTGTGTAGGCCTGATTCCCTGATTAATTTTGTTTTTCTTGTTATTGGCTTTTATATTTATTTTATTAGTCTTTTTTTTTTTTGTCTTTTCATGATATAATTTATGGAATTATATTATTTAATTATTATTCCTTTATTCATGTTATGGTTTTATTTATTTAATAGTAAAAAGCAATGCGCATAATATCGTTTCGTATCATTTAGTCTGTTTATGTATCCAAAATAATCGGTTTTTCTGTAATGAATGATGATTTATTGAAGGTGATTTGGAATGATTTTTACGTACTTAAGGTATTTACATACTAATTATTGCAGAATCAAAATTTGGATTTTTTTATGTTTCATTTTGCTTGTAATATCATTAAGGAAGATTATAAGATAGTTTGATTAATCATAGCCTAAATTTACTAATAATGATATAAATGGCATATTAATAATTCTATTTATGATAATAAATTCATAAATACTGATTCGATCATTTCCTTTTATCCTACTTACGCATATTAAATGATTTTGTAGAGCGCCCAGATGAGAATTCTATTTCATCGGCTCCATATACGATCGGCCATAAGAAGGTAATATGTTTGCCTATAATCGGCTCAGAAAGACGCCCTATATTCAGTTAGATTTGTCCAGTGTTCATAAAGCTCCAGAAACCATAAATTTCCCGAGCAACTTTCCCTAATCTTCCCTCAGGTGCTGAGCCTGGAGTGGAAGTTTCCTCCCTTGGATGAAGAGTTTTCCAGCACTTCTATATATCTCACTTCAAAATTTCTCTTTTCCGGGCCACTTTGGCATCCTCTGCTATATGCCTTCCTCTCCCACCTTAATGTTATATTCATAGTGGACCCCACCCCCATCATCATTCAGTGGGTGACACCTCCCCAGTCGATACCAGGCCACATTCTCTATTATCTTCTTTCCAAAAGCTTATTGTCGCCTTCTCATCCTCCTTTATTTGGTGAATTGCATTCCAGTCCGGCTCTTACAGATAACAGGAAAGTAGGCAGTTATTTAAAAGAATGATCAGCGAATTCTTACCTTCCTCGGAATATGTCCCGCATTACTGTACCGAAACAAATTACGATATATCGTCATCAATACATCAATGTGTCTTCCTCCATCCATGAGCCTCCCTTACATCCACCTTTTTTTGTCTATAAAAAACAAAAAAAAAATGTTTCCACCTGTCAAATTTATGACAATAAATGGAATGGTAACATGTCAGGCCTGGAGGAGAAAAGTACTCAAAAGTACTTTGATTGTTTAATGGAGGATCTCGTTTATCTTTCTGGCCTTCTCGTATTCTGGAGAATGTCACCTGATGCCATGTCTCTTATTAACCTGTTATTATGTCCGTTTAAATATATATAAAATCCTTGGTAAGGGGTCCTTTTATGTAAGTAGTGTTGCCCAAAATCGGTCTTGGTCTTTCACAGACCAAAACCAAGACCGCCTAACTGTTGCAAGACCAAAACAAGCGACTGGTAAAAAAATTGATTTTTTTAGTAAAATTGAATAGTTACTACTACTTGACAATTTCAGTTAATACATGTAAAGAATTGGTATAACCAATATACTTTTGTATTTAACTCTTCCAATTTTTCTCGTCTTGGTCTCGCATTCGGGCAACAAAGTAGGGAATATTTTGTTACTTCATTACTTCTACCTATTTTTTTAAATATAGTTTTGATAATTATGTACATAGTTATATATTTATATATTTTATGGACGGTAGTCGATTAGCAGTTAAGAAGTTATAAGAAATGGTTTAATATAAACTATGAAAGAATTTATTAATTAGATGAAAGGGAAACACTTTGAAAGTTGAAATGACTTTCCAGAGATAAGAGTTGTGATATATAGATATAGTATATAGTTTGAAAGCTAAAATATTATCCAATAAAGTCGAAGAAGAAGTTAATGGAGAACAAAAAAATATATATTGTTAGTACTTTCTAAAAACCTTAAAATCATTATTTAACTGAAACTAAAGTTACGACGAAAATTACATGAAATTTCAAACTAAATGTAAGCTTTTTTAATTATTTTCAGGCTTGACAACTAATAATATAAAACACATCCAATCGTTGTTCTGGAATCTTTTAAAAATATTTCAAGCAGTGTTCGCAGATCGGAAAAACATATCGTTACTTTAGTGCGATACCAACGAAAAATTCTTATATAAAAATTATATTTTTTTAAAGAATAAAATAAAACCGATCATTTCTTTACTATTTATTAGTATAATTTCTTATTCAATTTCTCTCTGCTACTTTCTCACTAAGCAAACTACTTATGGCAGTTGCGGACTACAAAATGTTAACTTTAGCGGAAAGAGAATAATCATGTCAAATTGTTACATATGACCTTTTGTACTAACAGTAGCGATATCGTAATTACCTTTAGCTACGATTATAGATTTAAACAATTATTTAATTAATTAACTAACTCTATTCGAGCAGATAATAAATTATTTAAATTGGCTGGTATGTGAAAATTGTGATGCCCATGTCACATACGATTTTTTTTTAACATAAAAAATTAAGAAAAAAAACATTTCTATTAATCAATTTTTTTTTTGCTGACTAAAACAAGTCGGAACTTGTTCCTATTTAATACATTCTTAAACTATTGCTAGTGTCTATTTTAGAATTTGAAGGTCATATTAAAGAACAAGTTTAAGTGATAAAAGTTTTTTCATTGTTTAACACTGTTAATAATTAAGACAAGCAAAGCTATATTCTGACGGTAAACAATAAATGGAAATCTTTTATTATTATTATTTTATTATTAATTATATAATCAATATGATTCTTGGCCTCACATATTGGGAAACCTAACAGAAGCTTCTGAAACACAACCTTGCAAAATTATATTTTCAGGTGACCCTTTGAGCTAGGTTTTCATTCCCCTATTTCTTTCTCTACCTTGAGGATATTAATTCTTTACCTGTTCTGTTTCAGATAAAGGAAGGAATAGAAAATACGGGCCGAACGACATAGACCCTGGCCTCTCAGCGAAACAAAGAGGTTCGTTTGTTTTTCTTACCTTTCCTGTGTGTGTTTTTTTTTAATTTAACAGAGTATGGAAATGTCTACTCTTTGTGAATGTAACGTTATTAAAAACATTCCAGTGTTTTATTTTTAGTTTATTGTAAATAAAACATGTATTAAGATTTTAGTTATAACTGATAGATTCGTTTAACCGGAAGATGTTAAGCCTAACTGAAACCATGAAATGAACGTCATTTATTTTATATCCGGATCTTTTAAGTTGAAAATTTGATTTTAAGTTAGCAGAGTTTAATAAACATCTGCTAAGAAGCACGATTGGGTTGCGAAAAGTGGTGTAAATTTGATCTTCAGATATTTATTGTTAGTATTAATTTCTTCGCTGAAAACCCTGGTTTTTTAACTCCCATCCCACTCGTAGCATGATTTTTACCATCTTGAAAAAAACGTTGAGAAAAAATACATTTTCAGTATATCCTGGACTAAAATATATTATTTCCAATGGTAAAGAACATTAAATTTTCAGCATGTTTTTTAGGTAACATTTTGGAAAATTTATAACAGTTTCTGAAAAGTCAATATATCCAAAAATTTCAAGAATTATTTTTTAGTGAAAAATCCATAATGACTTATCTTGAGGAGGACTAAATTTGGTAAATGATTCATACAAAATATTTGTAATTACCTCCTACAGACAACATGATATATTGACATAATTTTAGTGATAGTGGCCTGGAAATCGGATAAAGTCGCATTTTGTTCAAATTAGATATACTAATTTATCTTTAATCCAGTTTGCAAGTAATAATGCTGTGACCAACTTTTCAACATATTACATAAAAATATGTTCACTAACATTCATTAATAACATATATTTTCCTAAAACCATCTGATAACGGATTATTACAAAAAAAGCTGAAATAAGCACTGTTACTTAGAGGATGACGAAAACTCCCAAGGCATAGTATATTGAAAACTAGGATTTTAACGAAGCAATGAAAAAATGTAACATAGCTGATGTTCAAAATTATTCCACTTTCCGCAACCCAATTCCGCTTTACTGAGATAGATTTTTCACGAAGATAACTTGAATTTAATCTGTTGGAATTACATGGTATTGAGTTACTTCATGGTTAAATGAATACGTAGACTACTAGACTATATATTTTATGGACGTTAATCGGTTAGCAGTTAAGAGGTAATAAGAAATCGTTTAATATAAACTATGAAAGAATTCGTTAATTAGATGAAAGAAAAACACTTTGAAAGTTGAAATGACTTTCCAGAGATATGAGTTGTGATGTATAGGTATAATATACAGTTTGAAAGCTAAAATATTATCCAATAAAGTCGTAGAAGTTAATGGAGAGTAATGAAAAAAATATTAGTAGTAGTTTCTAAAAACTGACATTATTTAACTGAAAGTAAAGTTACAACGAAAATTATATGAAATTTCAAACTAAATGTAAACTTTTATAATTATTTAGTATAAAGGCATATTTAAATTATGTTTTGCTTAGCCGAACAGAATAACATTTTACTGGTGTTTATATATTCATTTTACTTCCATTATGCTTCAAGGTAGTTGCTTTCCAGTTGCTAAATTGAAAATGAGTCCTTGCTTCACGAACTTCGCTGCCATTTCTCCAGAGACTAGTCCTCCCTCTCGGTCAAGTTCCCCTCCAGGGGTCTTAGCCATTCTTCCTAAGTGAAGCCCATCTTAGCGTTACAAGTCTTATTAAACCGATCACATCTTACTCCCCGAACATATTATATTGATCCATATTATACCATCTTTTTCAATGGTCACCCTCCTTCGATGTACATTCCAATAAGTCCGAATTCCAGTTTCTGTCCATATTGCAAGCATTTCTGGAGTATTTCACGTAAGCTTTATTGCACCTTATAGAACACGCTTTCCGTCATTTTTATCATATTTATTGAAGTGAAAGCTTCTTTAGGCGAGCAAAGCACTTTATTTGGCATTTAATTAGATGAGACTGAGCCATCATGCTCGGCTGTGTAACATTCATTCGAGTAAAGTCGGATCGAGACGTCAAATAAAGAGAATTTTGTATTTGGTTTAAAATATTTCAGGAAAAAGAAATCGAACTCGGATACTGTAAGCAAAAGAAACGTTCAGCATTTCATCCTCTTTTTAATGAGCTATTATTCAGAATTGTATCTTGACGTGACACCGAGATAGAGAGTCGGAGGAGGGGGCGGTAAAGATAAGAAGGGGGGAACATAGATAACAAGGGAGAGATAAAGATAAGGCCAAAAAACTAAATGATAACGACTATCTTGATATGTATATGTCGAATGATCCGAATGAAAGTACAAAAACTATTGATCAACAACTGACGGAGGTTTGGTTAGATACTTAGCAAAGAGATTTCAATCAAAAGTATTCATCGCATATTTTAGCTGTCACAAAAATATTGTTTCATTTTTAGAATCTGATACAAATCATGATTAGTCAGAGCAAAGTTCAGCAGAGTAATGTTTTACACAATTATTTTTATTTATTTTTTTTTTATTTTAATGAAATTTACAACTGTATTACATGAAAAATACAACAAGTAAATGTGACATTGGTAAAATGACATGACTAGGCTCATATCGTTGTGTTCCTTGTAACTATTTATTAAAAAAAAGCCAATGTTCCCACAAAAAAAAGTGAACGCACTGCCCCAAAATGGCGTCCAAAGATGGCGGATTGACGACTTTGACTTTAGTTAGTTTTTTGGTCACTGAGAATCAGCATTTGGCTTAATTTCCTCATAGTTGGTCTTTTATTAAAGCTGAATAGTTATAGAATAATAAAACATGAAGAAATATTAAAAAATAATTGGCTTAGGCTATGAAAAACACCAGTAAAGTCAATTTTTTTAATAAAAAAATTTTCAAGTTACAAATCAAGCGTCGTTTGTAATTAAACGGCCTACAATAACGCAAAACATGCTGAAATAAACCATCTGGAGAATATATTTCTCTTTCTAAAACGCTGATTATTTTTTACAAATGTTTAAGCAGTTCCGTAGAAAATGCACTTATGCGGCAGAAAAGCGGTACTGGCGTGGGTGCCTACAGGCCTCTACCACACCATTCAGTGCCCATAAATGGCTTAGTTATAGTGATATAATAACATTTTTGGTACATTATATTGGTTTAATTAACGAACAAATATTAATTCAATAATTTAAATGTAAAAAAAAAATTAAAATTTTAAAAAAAATTTATTATTATTTTTTTTTAATTTAACCTCCTTTATTCTGTACGTAGGTCGTTTAAGAAGACCTCAATTGTAAAAATGATATAATTATAATAATAAAAGTTAATTAAAAAATACTTTGCTAAATATCTTGATTTTTTTTAATTTAACGTTTGCAATTTAACACTGTGTTTTGTATATTTACTGATTCTTAGAAATAATTAAAATGTTTATATACTTCCCAGGAAATGAGTCATATTAATACCTTTTTTATAAACTAAAATAATATATACCTAATCTGAACTATATATAATGAATAGCTACCGGGTTGTTTAGTAAAACGCATATATCACTAATTAAAAAATTAATTTTTATTTCCTTTATTTTGTGCAGAAGTTGGGCTATATCATAAATAAATAGGAAATTTTAATATTGAATGAATTATTTTCTATGCACAAAGAAAGAAAGAAGGGGTGATGCTATAACTTCTTCTATAAAACAAAACTGATTGTTTGGTTTTGATCTCAAAATGAGGAAAAACGCGTATAATACATTATTTTTTTATTTATAAATATTACAACCTGTCTCAATAAAGGACATTTATAATAGAGTTCTGAGAGCACATTCACACCATAATAATACATTAAGCGAAAGAGAAAGGAAGTACTAAAACCTCGGAATAGATAAAAAGGACCAGTATCCATTATATAGCTAAATGAATGTATAGTAGAGAGATGAACAGAATATTTCAAGATGCTGCTAAAACGGGATCAATTGCAGTTTGGATGATATTAAGTGGACGATGTAGGTTTATTATGTTGAAAACCACATTATTTTTTATTGCTGAAAGTGCACATCGGGACTATATTTACTTTGAAGCAGGATATAGAGAGGTATATCGAGAAAGTTATAGCTCATAGCTTTCCTTCTGATTTTTTAAGGAATCTTATATTAGTTATAGCTCGTTATTGTTCAGAAATTCCGGAATAAATTGTTCGGAATTTGTACCATATCATAAAAAAATAGGAAATTTTAATATTGAATGTATTATTCTCTCTGCACAAATAAAGAAAGAAAGGGCGAAACCGAACTGCTTTGATAGTTTTGCGCGTACATAGGCAACAAGCATATTAGAAAATAATATAAAAGGACTGTGGTTTTTACCTTTACAAGAAAGGAGGTACTAGGAAATGTAAAATATTGTAAAATATCCATTCCTGTTTAGTGTACCAAACAAATTATACTCAAGAATCGTAGAAGCTGGAATAAGAAATATTCTCGATTGCCAGAGTGATATGGATTGAGAAACTTAAGTTGCACATTGGAAGAGAAGTTGAAAATTAGGACTGTCTTCACTTTAAGGCAGGTCTGCTTAGTGCCTCACACTTTGGGTTATGCTAATATCTAACTGTCTTTCAGAAAAGCTCGTTTTTCTTTTAGATTCCTTAAAAATTTTTTTGCAAATGCACTAAACAGAAGGAAAGCTATGAGCTATAACTTTCTCGATATCTTGAAATATTCTGTTCATCTCTTTACTATACATTCATTTAGCTATATAATGGATACTGGTCCTTTTTATCTATTCCGAGGTTTTGGTCCTTCCTTTCTCGTTCCCTTAATGTATTATTCACGTTTTTCCTCATTTTGAGATCAAATCCAAACAATCAGTTTTGGTTTATAGAAGAAGTTATAGCATCACCCCTTCTTTCTTTCTTTGTGCATAAAAAATAATTCGTTCAATATTAAAATTTCCTATTTATTTATGATATAGCCCAACTTCTGCACAAAATAAAGGAAATAAAAA